CCTACACTGGCAATTAGGCTAATGGGTAACCTGTCGTGCAAATGAGTCTGAAAGACCTTTAATCATTGGCCATGCCTGAAAAAGGATCTGAATTTATAAATGTCTGTTATAAATGCAGTAAGGATAAATACTGAAAAAAGAAAGAGAGAGCTATTTAACCCAAAAGAAAATGTTGGTAAAAGAACCAACACATATCATCTGGTCATGAATAAACTGAATTCTGGCATAACTATTGTAATATCTGGAATTGCCTTTGAAATGTTAAATGGAGTCACCAAAAGAAATATYTTAATGGAGAATGACTGACTACCGTGGGAAGTGCAAAGGAGTTCAGAAAGAATAGAAAAAAGAAGTATTTTGTTTCCATCAACCCCATCAGCAATGACATTTTGTGTGAGATAGGAGGACTGTGTGCAAAATGTAATGATTTTAAGCAACAGCAAAATATATTTCAATATAGAGTAATGCTGCATGTCGATGGTCTGATAACGTGCTAATGATACTGCAACTGTTGCTAATCACCAGTACTGGCACTGGGCATTGCCTTGTGAGGGGAGTGTGCCTCAGTGAGCTTGTGAAGTGTGAGACTGCTGCAGAAATGACCCGGGTGCTTTTGCAGCACTGACTGGTGCTGCCCAGTATCACACACAGCCTGTGATAACGCCCAGGTATGCGACTTATCAGCTTTGTGCTGTCATCCCTCAGTTWTCTCTGATGAAGCTCCCTTGTGCTCAGCATATAGAGCTACTTTCAGAATAAATTCACGTTTTTTCTATAATCACATGAGAAAATAGATATTAAGAAAATTGTTCTTCATCTAGGTTTTATTGTACTTGGAAGCAATTTGTTCAGGAAAACACACAAGCTGCAAAGTACCTGCATGTGTTCAGGGTCACGTTCTTTTCAAGTTTGGTGGTTCGAGTGGTGCATAAAATGGTTCTGCTTTCCAAAGTGTTTGAAAGAGAAGATGCAGCTTTCATTGTCTGGGAAATGAAAATAGCTCAATAAGATAAATTTTATGTGGCTTTTATGCTCGTGCATCCTGGCTGACTTAGCAAAGTTCATATAGACCACGCAAAACTCTCCAGGCTCTGCCTATTTCTTGTTAATCTTCCATTTTGCTTCTTGGAGGAGAAAGTAAGTTAAGGGAGGAAATACAGCTGGGATGTGTTTAATGAGGATGCTCTCAGTGAGTGCAAGTAGATCTGCTAATGTTAACTATAAACTCTGTTTTGAAGTTATTTCTTGAGAGAATGKGATGTTAAGTCTGGTTCTTCTGTCATATATTTACTTAGAAAAAAAACAGATAACGCAGATTATCCAAATACATTCAAAAGATGCCTAAAGATCAGAGTGATTWCAGATTTTCAGATTATTTTTTTTAAAGAAGTCAAGCGCTAAGCCAGCCAGGCTGGTCAGGGTCTGTTCCTGCAGCGTCGGGGCTGCACAAGCGCCCGATACGGAGCGGGCACCGTGGCAGCCAGAGCTGTCGGTGCTGCCTCTGCGCCCGGGCTGCCTCCTCTGGGCCTGGGCATCCACCACACAGTCGGTCATTTCATTGTTAAAACGTCTCTGTGACCATTTCATTGTTAAAACGTCTCTGCGGATTTTGGATGAGGACGTGTGGTTTAGAGCTCGGAGGCGTTTGCATACCTGCTCTCTGCTTTTTTCCTCACCCCTCCTGGATGTACGTGATAAATGACAGATTGTCTCAGATAATATTCATGTGGTACTCCAAAATAATTCTGCAGACATGGTAAAAGCTTTTAGAGACTGTAAAACTGATTACCTCTTCTGTACTCTTTTCATCTTCAAAGCACTCAGGAACATTAACTAATTAATCCTCGCAGCACCTCTCGGAGCCAGGTATCCTTGCCATTACGGAGATGCAGGAGCTGAAGCGAAGCGCCGTGCGGCTCGCCCAACACCACCAGGATGGTCGCTGACAGGGAGGCCGTGGGAACGGCCAGAATTGTCCTTTTGTGTTTCCTGCTCAGTCCCACAGACCAGAATTGGGCAGGATGTCCTATTGCTGTAGCTTAAATGTGGTGGGAGTCTCACCAGAAAACTTAGTTGCAAATAGCTGAACTGCTAATCTGTAAATTTACCGTGTTGCTGCTCTTAAATTGAAACAAGTTCTGTTCTGGAAGCCTTTGTGCTTTCAAGATCCCATAGGACATAAGTTTGGATGTTTTTTAAGGCTTCCAATATCTCCTGTAGGGATGTGGTTTTCCATCTTGGCTGAGGTTGCTCAGCCTTCGCTGATTTGCTTTGGTGCCCGCAGGGATGTCTGCATGAGAGGCACTCGAGGTGTGGAAGAGGAGAAGGTGGAGGCCCTGGTCGGGTCTTGCTCTGGTGACCGCCTGTTGGCTGTAACTGTCYGGCTGTCATCTCGCCTGGGTCACTGGACGTGGTGGTTGGTGCTGACCATGGGCTGTTGGGTTGTCCTCCTTGGGGCTGCTGGCCCCTTTGCCTCCCTTCAGGCACAGGAGGCTGGAGGAAGAGTTAGTGTCGAGGTGAGGGTTGTGGTCCTTTCAGGAAACAGTGCTCAAAGTTCAGCAGATGCGGTCTCTAAAAGAATTAGAAAGTATAAAATTAATATTTAACCAGATTGCTACGTTTTGTCTGTTTCATGAATATTTTATTACTGTACAGAAATGCTGTTGATGGAAATAATATTGACAGGGGTTTTTAATATCTTCTGGTAAATGGAAACTTATCTCTATGAATGCAAACCATCTAGCAGGTCATACTGGACAAATGCTCTAATAAGACAATGGTAATTAGAGCATAGTGCATTAATGCTTGCTCCTGTTCATAATGCAGTTTTAAGAGATTCATAACAGGGATGTACAGGTGTGCTATCTTAAGCAACCATGATTGTTATGTTAATAATAAGACATGCTGTAGTAAACAAGTTTGTTTTCTCATAGCTTCCTTACCTAGTTCTTTATAGTAAGCTGAAGAAAAAGTTCTTCCAATTTTGTTTTGTTCTTGAGCRAGTCCACACAAGTGAAGTGATATGAGCAACTCTCCATGACTTTGAATCTCTGTGAACCTATTTGCACAGTGCTTAGAATATTAAGACTCCAGTTTAACTTCAGCTGCAAGTTTGGGGTTTCCAATTAGTGTGGAGCAGAAATCAAGAAATTTTACAAATTTCCACAATTTTCACATTTATTCTGTCTACATCCCAAACAAATCATAGTACTCTTGGATTCTGAGCTGATTTGACTTATGCTTGCAGGTTGAGTTCTCACTAGTGAAAGCCCTTTGTAGATAAGAGTCTTTCCTTTTGAAAGGCAGAGCAGAAGGCTTGGAAAAGTTAGGGATAGAGTTTAATGGCAACAAGGGAATGAACAGATGTAGTAAGGAGGAGGTGCAGTAATTGCACCAAAACTTTGGGACCAAAAGAATTGCCCCGAAATGAATAGGCCTTGCAACTTGAAGTTAGAAATTCTTTTGAATTACTTCTGGGATTCTATCTTCTTTTTTTTTTTTTTTTTTTTTGCGCTCTGCCCTTGCCCTTAGTTTCTTTATTGTATTTCCAATCATATCTTGAACCATGTAGCTTTTTAGTAGAACTTGTCAAATCAAAGTTGAAGTGATGCAGGAGGAAGGCAACACAGGTTCACATGTGGGGAATAAGGGCATCCCTTTCATACTACTTCAAGCCTATCACCAGRCTGATCTAACTTGCCAACTGTGCTTATTTCGCTTGTGTTTTTAAGTACCCACACACATATTGTTAGTGCTCATATMTTTATCACAGCCCAGCAGGCAAGCTAGAGGTATTTTTTACACAGCACTACTGTATCCTTATCTCAGTAGTGCTAGTATTATCCCCTGCCAAAACAAGCATGCTATATTGAAGTGCCTGTAAGTATCCAGGCTCTCTGCATATTCCTTGTATTTAGCCTGCAGCATGTCTGGCATCCACCGTGATCCCAGTGTTGCAGCTGCTGTTGCAAAGAGCAGCTTGAAAATCTTTTCAGAGCATTGAGGCTGGTTTAACAGCAGCGTAGCCTCTACTCGCCTGCGAATCAAGAGAGGTCCTTTCAGAGAGACCTTGGGGTTTTTCCACCTTCTGTACCCCCACCCCTCTGTTATGATAGTAGTCCACTCATGKGCTTGCACTCTGTTGATTAGAGATGGCTTCATTCACAGCCACGGTCTGTCTCAAATCATGGTTAGGGGCCAAATTTATCTATTCTTAAAGCTTAATGCTAGTTAATGAAAGGGGTTCCCACCTGCTAAAATGCTTTTGGTGAGCTTTGGGAAACATTTCTTCAGTTTTGCTGACTAGATTAAACCTGACACCACAATGTAGGAAAAGGACAAGTCCAATACTGCAAACCATTTTCTGTTTTATTATCTATAATATTTGCCTACTGCAGTGCTCAATTATACCACGGTTTCACAAAGACCTAATCTTTGCAATGTAATTACTTCCTGATGATCTATCTTTGATAAATGGAAAGACTGTGTTGCCTTCCGTCTGCATGGAGGATGAAGCTTCTTGCTGTCTGAACCTGTTTTTTTGTTCCTGGGGTGGCAGAGGAAGTAGGGAAGCAAAATGAGAAATCTCCATAGTATTTTCATTCTCTTCTAACCTGTCATCACAYGGTTAAACTATTTGGGCATATTTCTAACATTAGTCATCCTGAACAACCTGAACCTGAAATAAATCTTCCTGAAATTCAAAGTGGGGAAGTGGCCATGAGGTTAATCTGACTTTAGATGAAATCAAAACCCTTGGCTATTGGCGAACTATAGATTCTCCTTGTTCATGTAAGTCCCTCCATCACCCACTTGAGCGCGGCACGTTGGAAATGCAGAAATCTGTCACTTCTGAGATAAACCCACTAATCCACCTCTCTCCTTGGCACATTCTGTGTTCAGTGGGCAGATTTCTTACACGGATATTTTCTATCACTTTTGCCAGCACTACCTCTGTGTCATAAGCTGATGGCTTTAACCGGTGATTTTGTGTTTTTCAGATTCAACAGAGACATCCAAACACCTCTCTGCAAAATGTTTTYGGAGCGTGTACCCCGCTGAAAGTCTCCTCCAAGGTAATAGTTATGAATGACAGCAAGTGTATTGTAAATAACATCTAGGAAAGTGTTTCTTGCTCATCAAACCTGCTTGTGAATTCAGTCTTCTGCATTATTTCTCTGAGCACCAACAACAGCCTCTGTCAGTCCTGCCGGTAAATGTATAGAGAAGCCGTCTTATTCTGGTTATTTCAGTTGTGGTTTTTAATTGTAATTCCACTTTCCCTCATGGTTGTACAAAATTTACTTTTTCATCATTTCTCTGCCTGTTTTTATCTTTCCTTTTTGCACTAGCCTGGTGTCAATATCCGGCTTGGATTTCTGTCTCTGTGCCTGCGAGTATATTTGATTAGTGCCTTTAAGCTGTTCTTACTGTTCAGCCACATCTGCTCAACTACAGCGAGTATTTCTCCAGCAAACATCCTCTTGGTGTTGGTGTGTGACGACGGGCTAGGCAGCTCGGGCGCTTGCTTTGTGGACACCTCTGAGCGCACCCCTGGGCCGCTCGCTCTGCAGCCTCGTTGCTGGTGACAGTTTCAACACTTCCAGTGTCATGGGCATTCGAGGCTTCTCTCATGGAGTTTTTGTTGGGTAGAATGCTCAAGAATGTTCTGGGGTCTGTGCCTGTGTTAGTGTCTGTGCACACACACGTGTTTTATATGTCTRTGTGGTCTGTTTCAAGTTTAGCAGCAAAAGGTTCCCTTCCAGTGCCTGAATCGCTGAGGGAGCGTGTTTTGACAAGGTCACTGTGATGATTTGAAGGTCCTTCAGGTCTGTTGGACTGCTTCCTGAGCTACRTTTGTGGTGGTTTTGTGCTTTGCTCTCATGTTCTGTAGTGCAGGCCCTAGTCCCGGCTTTTGGAAGCCCTGCCTTCTTGCAGCAGCTGCTTCCTCCGCCTTCAGCTTCTTGTAGCAGGAAGCCTCAAACTGAGGAAATAAATGGATATTTTTGCCTTTTGGGGACTTGGTATTTAGCATCAAGACATGAGACATAATCATGAGTCTGTTCAAGTACTTTGTATTGATTACGACTCGTGTATTGTTTAGATGAGGGTGCAGCAAGATGGTGAATTGCTGACCACACATCTGTGCTCTTCAGCTCACTGTGGTGTTTTGAGAAATTACTGAGGACAGGTCCCTCTGTTTCTCTGCGTTTCCTTAGGGCTTTTTTTCTCTTCCTCTCTAGTGGTGTGCTTTACAATATGGTTCTTTTTCACAAGAGAAAAGAAAATTAAGTAACTTGGCAGGAGATGACTATGACACATGTAAATTCATGACATAAGGACTGCATACGTTTGTCTATAGCTTCCCACTCCACCTTCAAGCCAGGCACGTGCTTACAAGACCCATCTCTGAATTTTGAGAGGCAACATAGTGRCGCCTAAGAAGGTTACCTCTGTAGTTTGACTGTTTCTTACTGGTCAGTCTGGTCACAGGCTAATTATATATACACCTCTACATATAATTTGTCACCGAATTGCACGGGACGGTGATTTTTCTAGAAGATACGATAGTTTTCTACTTGGAGGAAATCAAGCCACTTTCTGTGGGGAAAGTAGGTTTGGAACCTAGAGAAACATAAATTTTGAGGTTTTCTTTTATTTGCTTTTTATTTTTTAAACAGCAACACCTAAGTTGTCATCCATCTCTTAGAGAGTTTCAGATGTTCAGATGCGCATTTTTAAGCTRAATTGAGTCTGTGTGTGTGTTATTAACTGTTCATCACCAATGACGCGACTCAAGGAGAAAAACAATTTGAAAATTGCCATTTGGTATCTTTGACCACTCTCCAAATAATATTAATTTAATGAATGTCAGTTTGCTTTGGAGCACCCTGACTTGGAGTGCATAGATCTGTTGTTGTTTTTTTACCTAATGTACTTGTTAAGGTGAAGTGAATGCAACCCAGCAGATATGCCACTATATATAAAATAGGCTTAATAATTTATAATAAGCTATATAATATGTGTAAGTTATGCATAATAATTTTTGGCTACTGGATTGTTCATATGGTTTTTCATGAGAAGATAATTACACTTAAAGGAAACCCTGGCAATTTAAAGCTATGTTCTCTCTTCTTGAGATTCAGGAACACCTCGTGGTTTATGCAAAATAGTCTCTCCATATTTTATGTCTGCACGAAGGCTGCTTGTGCTTGCATCTTTAACAAAGTGATGAACTTGGTTTGSAAGTGGCACCTTGGTTTCTATGCCAATGCCACCTAGTTTGTTCTTACGATCCCCAGCAGATGTGGGCAATGGAGGGAGGGTTTGGGTTTGCAGATTCTTTTCTGCTTCTTGCAAAATCGGCGCTGCCTCTGCCTTACTCTGGTGCCTCGGGTTATGCATAAAGGAGCCCCTCAAGCATGGCATTCTGCACGCTGTTGTGCAAGGAGAGCAACTGAGACATACAAATGCTGCAGTCAGTACCAGGAGGGATTATAAGCCAGGGTTTTTCAGTTGTAAAGAATAAGCAAAGCTGCTGCAATAATTGGTGTAARCATGCTGGATGGGGAGAAGAAAGAACTACTGAAGTAATACTGACTTCTCAAAGCAATCAATATTTGCTCATTAGTGATGCCTTTGTCCAACTCAAACTGACTGTTAAGCTCAGTTTTATAATAATCTTCAGCTAAAAGCACTTATATTCCACAATTGAGCATCTTTCAAGGCTAAATAATTCTTTTTTTTCTTTTTTCTTTTTTTTCGTTTTGATTTTTACATGTTAATAACCCCTTTGAGACGACAGCTTATTTCTCTGTGGCTCTGTCACCTACTGCCTTTGGAGTAGGGCATTCACTTCCAAGCAATTCTAGTGACTTCGCAGCCACCTACAGATATTTATAGCCTTGCAGTTGGCTTTGATCCTAGTTCAGCTTTAAATTACCATTTTAGTTGCACTGGAAAAAAACGATTCYGTTGTTTTCAGAGTACAGAAAAGAAGGGAATGCTGCCTTGGGAGGCTGCAGCTATTTTAAGACTCCTCTGACTAATTATAGCTAACTTATTASCATATATTGCTGCTGGTCTTCCAGAGTCCTTGTTTATATAGAATTCATTAGCTAGTGGACCAATTTGCAGAAGATTTACATGAGACTTTGCCCAAGTGTTAAGATAGTCGCAGTATTATKGATGAGAAAAGTTGGGATTAGTTTGCGAGCTGCGTTCCTTGCTCAGAGAAGACAGATGGCAAAACACCAGGACTCTGGAGTTGTTTGTTTACTATCAGAACGAACAGTTAGAGCGAATTTGGTATTTGTTCTTTGTCTTTTGGGATTGCAAAATGCCTTGAAATTCTGCTGTGCTGAATGCTATTTCTAGCGGGCATCTTTCATTGGGAACAGAAGCATTGGAATCATAATATGAAAGACTTCCATGTGCTTACTTTGTAGACCTGTATTTTCCTTCTRTAGTTTTCAACAAAAGAGCACTACAGAGTTTTTCATGCATGAAGAATACTGTAGATCTTCCACCTCACAAAACTGTGCAGTCAGTAGGATTCAATATTTATCAAAAGGTGTTTTTTATATTAAAAAAAATAAGAAATATAAATTGACATGGAGGAATTAACTGATTATTTCTTGTGTATTTATTTTGTATTTCTTGTGTATTTATTTTGATTATATTTCTGTCTATTTCTTGTGTATTTATTTTGATTATATTTAATATCTCTTCTGTGCTCTGATTTTACAATATATTCAGAAATAGATATTTGACATTGAGGCTAATTCAAATGCAATCAATCCCCAAGCTGCCTTTCTTCACATTTGCGGTAAGCGCAAGGGAATCTCCCTTATCTCTGTGCGAACTACTTGTCTCAACTCTAGGGATGAGAATAAAGAAAATAGAAAAAAAAAAAAAAAAAAAAAAAAAAAAAAAAAGTTAATCACTAGGGATAAAAAGGCATAAAATAAGAAGCTAAGTTCTAGCATGATGGGCAAGGGAGCTGAAACAAGTGTGAAACTGTACTGTGTTACTTCGTTATTTGCTTAGTGGAAAGAAGCAAACTTGTGGTAGTTCCATGCAGAAAGGAGAAATGGTCGTATCTGAGAAGCTTATCAATTGTATTTWAATGCATTTTGTACTCACAAAGCTTGTGCTTTGCTAGTTCCGCTGGTTAGTATGTTTTGGCATGCATTGTTTTGTAATATAGTATTTGGTTATTTGCACAGTGATTTTGGTTTTTTGTTTTGTTTTCTTTTTGAATAACTTATAACGCCTGGATATTAAGTAGTGTCAGATATCCATTTTTGTACATCTTAATTGAATGGGTACAATGAATATAAAATATTCTCCAGCCTCCTTAGGTTCCTGTTGTGCTGTGAATAAACACAAGAAAAATCCAACTTGATATTCTAACATCCCCATGAGATTAACCTGTTCATCAGATGACTGTAATSAAAATCTAAATAAAATAGTTGTTCTTCTTTCCATTATAACATCCCGTATACGTTACCACATCCATCATCTTGTCACCACCTTGAATGAAATGGGAAGGGGGCTGCCAGTGTGGATTTGCAGGCTGCACTGGTAATAGTTGTTGCCACTTTGCCGGTGGGCTGCTTCATTAAAGTTTTAGAAAAATAAGATCTCTTTCTGACTCCTGTGCCCGAGCCTGCAGTGATTATTAAAAAAGATACTCTGTTAAGAGACAGGGCTATTGCATTAATGTGGGGAACTGCAACTCCAAGTGTTGGGATGGGTTTTCTGTGCAAATACGAGTTATTTTTTATGGCAGTAGCATGGGGGTGATGTGGGTAGATCAGAGGTTGTGTTCAGCTAGTGTTAGTCTCTGCTTTAAATATAAAGGGCATAATGTTCACCTGAAGTGCACCGTGAAGGTGTCAGGATGGTACTGGCCTTCCTCAAGGTGGTAATCAGAAGTTGACAGAAATCTGTAAAGAGCAAAGTGCAAGGAAAGGGGGAGGTAGAGAACTGAGCAGAAGTGCCAGAGGCTTTTCATTTTTGAACTCCCAGACAAGTGCCAAGACKTGTTTGGGAAGATCCCTGCTAGTTTTTA